CCCAGGAATCTGCGAGAGTGCTGTCTCTTTCAATATCCAAAATAGTCAAGCCACTTTAAACATTCAAAATGGCAGTGTCCTCCACACCGGCAAAAGTCCACGCTCAGCCTGCCTTTCTCTTCACCTTCTCCATTTATTCCCCATCCACCAGAGTAATCCTCCAAGCAGTCCCTGGCCAGCAGGGCTGATTTTTAGGTTAATTTTTAGGTCCTACCACCACTCGGGAATCTCCAATCTGTCTGTGCTGTGCCGTCAGGATCGCTGCCAGACCACAACTCCATCTGTCTCCTTTTTTTTTTGTATTTTCATGCAAATTCTTCTGCTAATTGGGGTTTAGTCCACTTCTATATCCTTCCCTTCAAGGCTCAGGGGTCCAAGATTATCTTCTGTGTCTGTGTTAACTGGTTTCCCTTTTCTTTGTTGAAGAGGGTCTGTGCAGTCTTTCTGCCTAGTCCGCCATCTTACCAGAACTCCAAATACCCACGTCTTCGTAATATAATTTATCTGCCAGCTGTTCTTTTATGTAAAAATGATGTTCTATGAAAAAAGTGGTGGCTTCAGCTTGCAACTCAATTGCAGAAATACTTCTCTTCAAGTCAACCTTCATACTTCTGTACATGGCAAACAAGCTTTATACATTTCAACATGTTTTCCTTTTCTTTGCTTACTAGCTACGTTGTTTTTTATAAAAATTCTTGGTTTGTGATTTTAAAAAATTAATTTTCACTGCATCATCAAGGACATTCTTAAGGGAAAATGGATTTTTTTTTTTCTATTTTTTTAACTGCAAGAAGTTAAAGAAAGTACTATTAGTTTAGTTTTGTGACCAGTTCAGTTCTATGCCTTGGTTTTGTGCTAAGGAGCAAGGAGTTTTACCTACAGATCAGAGCAAATACCAACACAGTTAAAAGCAAAACAAGGACAAATAATTTGTATTATTACAATAGTTTTGGTTTCCAGGCTTACCGAGTCTTCAATACCCTCAGGGGGACACTTTAATAATTGCTAGTCTACATTTTCATGGCCACAGAATATTAAACTATGTGGGTAACTATAGTTTATTGAGCCAATGTTCTTTATTGTTAGACATTTGAGTTATTTTTTTAACTTTTCTCCATTACTGAGAATGATGTAGTTAAAACACTGCTTGCATCCCAAATTATTCCTCCAGGAAAAAGTCTTAAAAATAGAGTGGCTGGGCTACAGAATATGCATTTTCTACAAAGTCTTTTGAAAACTGTCATAGTGCCTTCCAGTAAGTTTACTAATTTACTCTTGCACTTTACATAACAATACCTATCTTTCCAATGTTTTACAAAAAAATTAAAAAGCTTGCTAAATTTACAGGCAATAAATGGTATGCCATTTTTGGTTAATTTACATTTCTTCTTACCAGTTAGGTTCCCCCACACACACATATACTCATAAAAATTATGAGTTGCATAGTTACGTGTTTTTCCCATTTTCCTATCGGCATATCTTTTGCTATGCCATGTATGTTGCAGGCATTTCTTCTTTTTTTTTAACCTTTTAACTTGGTGTAGTTTATTTTCATGTTTTTAATTGTTATGAAATTACATATTAGTGTTTCTAATTTTCTGCCTTTGATGTCATGCTTAAAAAGCTTGACATTCCTATATTATAAAAATATTTTTAGGCAGTTAACTCTTAATTTATCCACAATTATTTTGATATATAATTTGAGGTAAAGAGCTGGCTTAATTTTCTCCTTTTCCTAAAGAGTTAACCACTTATTCTTGTACCATTTTAACAAACAACTCTTTTTCCTCTAACGAAATGCTCTATTTTTCATACACAAAATACTTGAACTTGTAAGATAGCAGAAGGAAATGATTAATAAATAGGACTTGAACTGGATTCTAATCTCTGCTCAGTTGCATGTCCCTAACCAAGTTATAAAATTTTTAAAAATTCAGTTCTCTCATTTGTAAAATGTTTAAAAAACAAAACAAAAACCAAACTCATTGCTGTCGAGTCAGATCCGACTCACAGTGACCCCTCTTTGGGTTTCCCAGGCAGTACCACTACGGAAGTAGATCGCCCAATCTTCCTTCCAAGGAGTGGCTGGTGAAACCCAGTCTTCTGGTTAGCAGGCGAATGACAGTAGACAGAAGTAATACCTCCTATCTATAGGGTTGCTATGAGGATCAAAGAATGTATGGCAATTAAATCAGTGCCTTGATCATATTAAGATGTCAATAAATGGCTGCTATTATTCTTTCTTCAAAGAATACCAGAAAGATGTTTACCTGTGCTTTATTGACATTGCAAAGGCATTCAACTCTGTGTATCAAAATAAATTATGGGTAACATAGCAAAGAATGGAATTCCAGAACACTTAATTATGCTCATGAGGAACCTGTGCATAGACAAAGAGGCTGTCATTCAAACAAAACAAGGGAATACTGCACTGTTTAAAATCAGGAAGGGCATGTGTCGGGGTTGTATTCTTTTACCACTTATTCAAGCTGTATGCTAAGCAAATAATCTGAGAAGCTGGACTATATGAAGAAGAACACAGCATTAGGATTGGAGGAAGACTCATTAACATCCTATGATATGCATATGATACAACCTTGTTTGCTGAAAGTAAAGAGGCCTTGCATCACTTACTGATGAAGAGCAAAGAATATAGTCTTCAGTATGGATTACACCTCAACATAAAATGAAAATCCTCACAACTGGCAAATAAGCAACATCACGACAAACGGAGAAAAGACTGAAGTTGTCAAAAAGTTGCATTTTACTAGGACTCACAATCAACACTCATGGAAACAGCAGTCAAGAAATCGGATGACGTATACTGGGCAAATCTGCTACAAAAGACTTTAAAGTGTTGAAGAGCAAAGATGTCACCTTGAAAACTAAGGTGCAACAGACCCAAGCCATAGTATTTTCAATAGCCTCATATACATGTGAAAGCTGGACAATGAATAAAGAAGACCCAAGAAGAAATGATGCCTTTGATTTGTTGTGTTGGCAAAGAATACTGAAAATACTATGGCCTGCCAGAAGAACAAACAAATCAATCCTGAAAGCAGTGCAGCCAGAATGTTCCTTAGAAGTGAGAATGTACAGACTTTGTCTCACATACTGTGGTCATGTGGTTAGTGGGGAGCACTCCCCGGAGAAGGATATGGTTGGTAAAGTGGAGGGTCAATGAAAAAGGGGAAGACCCTCAACTAGATAGATTGACCCAGTGGCTGCAGTGATGGGCTTAAGCATAGCAAGGATTGTGAAAATGGCACAGGACCAGGCAGTGTTTCGTTCTGCTGTACTTAGGGCCACTATGAGTTGGAATTGACTTGATGACACCTAACAACACTATTCTTTCTTGATTTTCTAGTTAGGATCATGAATCTAGGGGAATGTGGAATAAGAATCAACTCCAGGGAAACAGAGCAGGAAGAGAATTAGCAGATAAAAATAGGTGGTGAGGTAGTCAAAGAGAATCATAGGTGCAAAGACCTAAAGACAGGAAAAGACAAAGTTAATTTTTAGGGGAGTTTTTTCATAATGTGGGACAATACTCACTGTGGGGTGTGAAATCACCTTAACCAGTATTTTGTTTTAAATGCATAAATATATTGGAATAGAATAGAAAATATTGAGGTATTGAGTCTCTTGGTGGTGCAAATGGCTAACTGCTGGAATACTATACAGCAAACAGCAACACTGAAGTATGAAGAGTCTTCCAGGAAACTTGTTTTAGTAGACATGCATACATAATTTTATATATGTGTAGTCAGTATACATACATGCATAATTTTATATTTGTGTAGTGCAATGAGATGTAAAATAAATTTCCATTGTGCTTCTTGGGCAAAAAGTCTATTTCAGCACCCAGTAAGTAGTTCTTTTTAGCATAGACGATCTATGTTTAAGCCCTACAGATCAACCACTGCATTTGCAAGGTCTTTAACCACAGACTCTTAACGTTATTTCTTCTCTACCCTTTCTCTCCAGAGTATTATGACCTTAATTATTCTTTTCCTTTTCCTTAAAAATAACACTTTGAAATTACTCATTTGTAAACAATCTAAAACAATACAGATGAAGTTAAAGTAGCTTTTGACCACCTTTCTCCTTCAATCCTAGAGCTATTATTAGTTTGCTCCCTCTTCTTTTTTGACAAACATATAGTTTGTGGCAACTTGGTCCTCCGCTTCATTTGTCCAGAGGATCTTTTCACGTATATTTACCTTGTTCTTTTTTAAAAAAGTAGGTAAGGAAGGTTGGGCAATCTACTTCCGTAGTGATACCGCCTCGGAAACCCAAAAAGGGGTTGCTATAAGTCGGATTCCACTCGAGGGCAATGAGTTTGGTTTTTGGTTTGGTATTATATGTACCAAAGAGGATAAAGCAGATGTATCATAGTTTATTTTGTCTTTCCCCTACGGAGGAACGACTTGATGGTTCCCTTCCAAAAGCTAGAGCCCCAGTGTTCTCGTGCGCGTGTGAATGCAGACAAGATATTTCCATACTTTCTCTTTCATTTTGTGGCCCAGAGGAAAAATCACACCCAAGGCAACAACCCAGACAGAAAGTGACCAGGACAAATTCTCGCTTTGGGCAGTTTCTTCCTTTCACCATGAACATTGAATTTTTCTTTACCTCATTGTCGCAATAGTTCCCACGACCGAAATCAGAAACAACCACTGAGCAGCCACCAAGCAGTACACTGTTAAGGTGGGGAGGAGGGGTAGCAACTCTTCAACCCTTTCAGGGGGTGACGCTTACTTCCGGGAAGCGGACCGGAAGAAGCTCCTTGGTTCTGCGTCAAACCCGACTTCAGGGACCGTCGTAAAAGTGTCGCCCCTGGTCTCTTGGATCGGCCACAGGTTTCCGCTCCTCTCTGGCCGGGGGTCGGGAACTGTGGGTGTCAGTTTCGCTCAAGATGGCGGACGAGGATACCGGGGGTGCGGAGAGGATGGAAGTCAGCACCGAGTTGCCCCAGACTCCTCAGCGACTGGCATCTGTAAGTCCTCGTAGGCAAGTTCCTTTTGTCCCCTCCCCAGTTCCTTCCCACCGCGCTCGGTAGGATGTGGGGCTTCACTCCCTATGGCGCCTCTGGGGAAAGGGTTCGTATGGATTGATCTGGAAGGAAGACACGGAATAAAAAGTTAGTAATCACTCACATTCCTGCAGATCACGTCTATGAAATACAGTGACTTAGCCATTCTTAGTCGCGACGAGCTCAAATATGTCTCTATCCAGAGTAGAAAGAACAGGTTATGTTATTAGATGGTTTGGTATAGGGACTGAGACGAGGTTAGACGAAGAGCCATTTTCCCGCAGACGCAGTGGTAACCCAACTTGATGACTGGAATCCAGAACGCAGCATCTGGTGTTGTATTGCATATACGACTAGGTGGGGCCTGATAGTGGCACGGAATGCTTCCACTGCCAATTTGTGTCAAGATGTGGACTGTTGAAATTGTAGCCCTTCATTCTAGCATCTTCAGAGCACCAGGCCTAATTCTCAGTGGAGAAACCCGTCATCTATCGCTGCTTTTTAAGGGATTCCTAGACATTTCAAGAAAAAACAATACCATCAATTGGTATCGGAATCTGTACTTTGCCCTTGGACTTTGAAAAACTGGGAAGGCTGAAAAAGTGAACAAATTTGAGTTTGTAGTCTGGCTTACTGGGAACTAACTGGCTGAGGAGAATAAGAGGGAGGGAGCAATGGTAGGGAATGTTCTGGAGACCTAGGACATGTAATGAGGAGCTTCATAGGAAATATGCAAATATTGTGCACTGCGTGAGGTTAAAAGAATTATCAGTTCGTTTTTATTGCTCCATATAAAAAGTATGGGATAGACACCTCCTTCTGAAGTTTCTTTGGTTTGTAATGTTAATAGAAACATTCTTGAAGTATTTTAACCCTGCAGACACCCAGGCATTTTTTGAGAGAATAAAATTAGATACAGAAAGAAGAGTCAACCCCAGATTCTGGAGAGACTGGCTAGGAGATAGAAAGCAGGTAGGGAGAGAGTTGAAATAAGCATTTAGCTACAGGCTAGAACAGTGCCTTGCTATCACCTATTCTGTATTCCAAATTGCAGTTGAATTTCACTTCATGACGGGTAGCAAAGAAAGAAGCATCTATTTGAAATGACAAGGAATGAGAAGATAGCAAAAGGTTAGAAGTAGCTGAAACATCTGGTTTTAATACTAGATTGTGCTTTTTACATCTTAGAATGAGTGAAGAAACTGCACTTTGATCAGAAGTGTTACTGTAGTTTGATATTGCCCAAGATGATTATTACTTTTTAAAGGTTTGATATATTAATTTCTTCCAAGTGGTACAGTAAAACCTCATCAGTTTGGGATCTACTGATTTTGAATTGGAGATAATGGTATTTGATAATGGAATTGAGCTAGAATTTATGTGGCAAACTCTTTCCTTCAAGAAATATTACTAGATTTCTTTGGGTAAGGCTTTTGAGTTTTGTACAGTGGTAGATGCGAAGAGAAGTGTAATACAGCCTTAGGGAACTCATAGTCTGGTGACACAGATAAGACAGGTGCTCAGAGAATTTTAATATAAGATACATGATGTAAGTGGGTGAGGACCTGTGACATTTCACCATTATTTTTGGCTTGGATCTCTCTATGTAATGACTTTGCAGTGGTTGTTAACTTTGGAATTCAGACTGAAATAGGGAGGCAACCAAAGCTAAAACCAGAATTCAGGGGTGATTGGGGTAATTTGAAAGATTATAGTTCATATTACTGACATAATTGCAAGACCAAATGAGAGAGGGGAATTTTAGATTTAGAGAACATGGCGGCACATCAGATTTTAATGATAGTATAATCAGAATAGGTATACCTCATGTGTTCCCATGCTATTTGAGGGCCCTCAGAGATCATCCTAGTTTATTTTTCTTTATTGTTGTTGTTAGATGCTGTTGAGTCATCTCTGACTCATAGCAACCCTATGCACAGCAGAATGAAACACTGCCTGGTCTTGTGCCAGCCTCACGATCCTTGCTATACCTGAGTCCATTGTTGCAGCAACTGTGTCTATCCATCTTGTTGAGGGCCTTCTCCTTCTTTGTTGACCCTCCACTTTACCAAGCATAATATCCTTCTCCAGGGAATGGTTCCTTCTGACAGCATGACCCAAGTAGGTGAGGTGGGCTGGTCATTCTCACTTCCAAGGAGCATTCTGGCTGTACTTCTTCCAGGACAGATTTTTCAGTTCTTTTAGTAGTCTGTGGTACTTTCAACATTCTTCACCAGCACCACGACTCAAAAGCATCAACTCTTCCTTATTCATTGTCCAGCTCTAACATGTGTAAGAGGTGATTGAAAATACCACGGCTTGGGTTAGGTGCACCTTAGTCTTCAAGGAGACATCTTTGCTCTTCATCACTTGAAAGAGGTCTTTTACAGCACATTTGCCCAATGCAGTAAGTCATCTGATGTCTTGACTGCTGCTTCCATTGGTGTTGATTATAGGACCAAGTAATATGAAATCCTTGACAACTTCAATCTTTTCTCCATCTACCATGGAGCTGTTTATTGGACCAGTTGTGAGGATTTTTGTGTTCTTTATATTGAGGTGTAATCCATACTGCAGACTGTAGTCTTTAATCTTCATCAGTAAGTGCTTCAAGTCATCCTCTCTTTCAGTAAGAAAAGTTGTGTCATCTGTGTATCACAGGTTGTTAATGAGTCTTCCTCCAATCCTGATGTCACGTTCTTCATGTAACCTAACGTCTTGGATTATTTGCTCAGCATACAAGTTGAATAAGTATGGTGAAAGGATACAACCTTGGTGCACTCCCTTCTTGATTTTGAACTATGCAGTTTTCCCTTGTTCTATTCAAATGACAGCCTCCTAATCTATGTACGGGTTCCTCATGAGTACAATCAAGTGTTCTGGAATTACCATTCTTCTCAATGATATCTATAATTTGTTATGATACATACAATTGAATGCTTTTGCATAGTCAATAAAATATAAGTAAATATAAATATCTTTCTAGTATTCTTTGCTTATAGCTAAGTTCCATCTGACATCAGCAGTGATATCCCTCATTGCCCGTCCTCTTCTGAATCCAGCTTGCATTTCTGGAAGCTCTCTATCAATATACTGCTACAACCATTTTTGAATTATCTTTAGTAAAATTTTACTTGCATGTGATAGTAATGATATTGTTCGCTAACTTCCACTTTCTGTGAGATCACCTTTCTTTGGAATGGGTACAGATATGGATCTCTTCCAGTCAGTTGGCCAGGGAGCTGTCTTCTGAATCTCTTGGCATAGCCGAGTTAGTGCCTCCAGTGGAGCATCTGTTTGTTGAAACACCACAATGGGTATTCCGTCAGTTCCTGGAGCCTTGTTCTTCGCCAATTCCTTCAGTGCAACCTCGACTTCTTCCTTCAATACCATTAGTTCTTGATCATATGCCACCTCCTGAAATGGATGAACATTGACCAATTCTTTTTGGTACAGTGACTCTGTGTATTCCTTCTGTCTTCTTTTGATGCTTCCTGCATCATTCAGTATTTTGCCCATAGAATCTTTCAATATTGCAACTCGAGGCTTGAATTTTTTCCTCAGTTCTTCCAGCTTGAGAAATGCCGAGCGTGTTCTTCCCTTTTGGTTTTCTAACTCCAGGTCTTTGCACATTTCATTACAGTAGTTGGCTTTGTCTTCTCAAGCTGCTCTTTGAAATCTTAACTGTTCAGCTCTTTTATCTTGTCATTTCTTTCATTTGCTTTAGCTACTCTTTGCTTGAGGGCAAGTTTCAGAGTCTCTTCTGACACCCATTTTGGTGTTTTCGGCCTTTCTTGTCTTTTTAATGACCTTTTGCTGTGTGTTGTATATATTCTTTTAAGGGATTCTCAGTTAACATGCCTTCTGTTGAAGAAACAATGGTTATTTGATGAGTTTAGAGTTTTAAAACACCTGGTATGGTATTATTATTTTTTTTATGTTAAGATACATCCTGTAATAAGCTAAGAGTTATGGAAATATGCTACACTAAATAAATATTGCTGGAAGACTCTAGAAGAGTTAATGTACTTCCTTAAGTGCCTATTTACTACCCAGGAGTGGCATAGGCCCTGTTTAGAATGGAGTCTACTGTTAATCACTTGACCATAATTCTTTTTTTAATAGTTTACATACTGCCCTCTTCAGAACAAAGTCTATTTGACTTGTGTGGAGGAATAGGTCTGTAATCACTTGAAGTGTCTTTATGGGCTACCTTTTAAAATGCTTTTGAACTTTTGGTGCTTATGGGTAAACTAGAAGTAACTAGTCACAGGAAGAAAAGTCTATTAATTTATTCATTCCCCCCTTTTTTTTAGTACATACATAACTCTACCTTGTAATCTTAGAAAAGGTTTTAGTTGGTTGTACATACATACTCAATATATTCAAAAAGAGGATGGAGGAAAAGGGAAAAGGAATGAGGGGGCGTATTAGGAGAGTAACTGGCCTTGCAATCCAGTCTGAACAGGGAGGAGGTAAGCAATGCCAAAACATGAATTCTGGGAAATTGGTGGGATTTACTCCAGTGTTTAGGAGAGCAGATTTCATTCATCCAAAGACTTCAGGGAGGGCTTTAGAAATTCTGGGCATGAACTTGTGGTCAGAGATGAAAAAGGATGAGATGGTAGGAAGGAAAAGAGGCTTTGAAAAACCAAGTTCTGACGGTATGCTTACACATTATCTCAACAGGAAACAGAAGAAAGAGAGCTTGTTTGTCACAAGGCTCTATATTTTACCCTGGCTTATTTTATCAATGCCTTGAAGACATAGAAGATTTATCTTATTTATAGACAATGCAAGGCTGCCAAGAATAACGAATCCATTATAGGATGGAAATTAAAAAAAAAAACAAAAAACCAAAAAACTCCTAGGCTTAATATTGCATCAGAACTAACATGTGAAACTTAACTATGATGAAAGTAAAGTCTTATATCTAGGTTCATTTGTGTGTAATACTAGGTCTC